AACAATAACTATTCTTCAGAAGTGAGAGTTCAACAACAACAACAACAACAACAACAACAACAACAACAACAACAACAACAACAACAACAGCAGCAACAGCAACAGCAACAGCAACAACAACACCAACAATAATTTTAAGATCGTTCGCCCTTATATGTTCGAGTGTCCAATAACGCGTATTTCCCAAAGCGTCGATACCCGCCCTCTTCGTCTTCGATCGAACCCTTTTGGGGGGGTATACCTTTCTTCCCTGCAGGCCGGGCCCCGGCAAGCGGCGGGGCGGCCGCGGACCGTCGGCCTGGCCAGCGGCAGCACTGATCGGCGGGGCGGCCGCGGACCGTCGACCCGACCCCAAGGGGGACGGACAGGGGACCGACCACGACGACGACGACGACGACGACGACGACGACGACGACGTCGAAGACGACGGCGACGACGACGACGACGACGGCGACGACGAGCGAAAGCGAGAGCGAGAGAGAACGACAGCAGGGCCACGAAGGGCACGAAGTAGGCCATGAAGGGCGACAGCGGGGACGCGAAGGGAATGCGTATGGGGCCACGAAGAGCGCGAACGAGCGGGGGCCACGAAGTGCAGATAATGCGGGGCCACAGAAGGCAATTGTGGGGCCACTGAGGGTAGCACGTAGGACAGTGAGGGGGACACAAATGGCGACAGCGGGGCCAAGAAGGGCATGCACATGGGGCCACAACGAGCGCGACTCCTGGGTGCCTGGGTGTCGGGAGCGCGGCGCTTGGGCAAATTACAGGAAATCCCAACGCAAGACCATTCTTCAGTGAGTTGCAAGCAAGTCTCCAGCGAGAGCGCGACTCCAGAGCGCCGGGAGAGCGATTCCTGAATAAATTGCGAGGAAGTCTCGGGCGGGACCAGGGGTCCTGGTTAAATTGTGAGGAAGTCTCAGGCGGGAGCCGTTGTTGTTGTAACCCGGGGGCCAGGGGCCCAGTTTGAGCAGGATGATTTTCCCTGTCCAAAAACATGGTGCGAGCGTCGAGGGGCACACTTTGATTGAGAAAAACAGTATGCACCAGTGGGGGGATCAACAATAATTGTTTTTCTGCAATGAGAATTCAACAACAACAACAACAACAACAACAACAACAACAACAACAACAACAACAACAACAACAACAATTACTAGGACGTGGGGACACTCCGTTCTCACCAGTGCCAGGGTTTTCATAGGAGGCGGGCAATACCCCCACTTTGTGGGGGGGCCGGTTCAAGCTCTACCAAATTTCCAAACGACTCTTCGCCACCACCCACACCCAGCTTCCCGCCCTATGACGTTCGGACACTTCACTTCGTGGCATGCGGACGACCGTGGCTACTATTCAGGGCCCCGCGGCCGACGACGACGGCGTGCGCGCGCGAAGAAAAAACGAATGTGTCCCGCATGGTATTATTTGACAGGGATGATGGCCCTGGCAGGTGCGCAACCGTTGTCGCAGAAGTTCGAAAAAGTTGCTCGCAAAAGCCCGTTTGACAGAAATGTTTAAAAAGTGTTGGGTTTCCTACGAATCCGCAAGAGCGCGCGGGATGAGATTTTGACATTTTTTTGTTGAAAAACCATTGGTTTTTTGATGTTTTTATGTTAAAATCGCTCCGAACACTAAGCTTTTGGAAGGATTTCGTCTTGCGCGCGCGAATGTCCACTTTACCTTATTTTTTGCAAGGGATTCTTGAAATTTGATTATATTAGAACAAGAAATGTCATTTTATAGTGTTTTTTGCAAGGGAAAGCGGGGGGGAACAAAACAACCGGATCTTGATCACATCGAATTACCTGAGGCTTCCTCACGAAAATGATGAAAATGTAGCTGCGGCCTAGGCGGCGCAGGGGGGCCGTGCACCAGGGGCCCCAACAATAATTATTCTTTAGAATTAATAATGTTCAACAACAACAACAACAACAACAACAACAACAACAACAACAACAACAACAACAACAACAACAACAAGAATCCGCATCGCGGAATTCTACTTCAGCCACGCACCCAGGGACAGTGAACGACCGTTCGGCTCAGTCCCCGCACTCTGATAAATGAGTCAACCGCCAGCCTGCCGCCATTCCCGCAAAGCGGTGAGAACAGGCGGCCAGTACCTCATTCCGCCCACGCGCTCCGGCCTATGGAGCGAGTGGGCGAGCGATCGATTTGCTAGGAGGTCACGGGGCCCCGCAACCAGGCGACGACGCGCAGCCCGCAGACATTGAAACGCCATCAGCTGTGGCATCGCCCGGAAGACGGCCGGCCTCGGACGGGGTTAGATCGAAGATGAATCCATTCCAGAGCGCTCTGGAGCGTTGTGGAACGCTCCGAGAGGGCCGCGGCGCCCGAGACATCCTCCAGAGCCGCCGGATTTCCGAGATTCTCGAAGTTATCCTCGCCCGATGTTGTCCCCGTCCTGGCTTCGTTTTGCGGCCCATCCGGAGGGGAAACACACACACACACACAGAGACGCCACTCCCCGTCGACCCCCAGGAAAAAAAAAGAGTGGGAGAGAAGGGCAGCGGGGGGGGAGACGCCAACCCCGAAGACGTGGGACCCTCGAGACGCCATCCGCGGGCACTGCCCGGGAGGCGGCCGGTCACCCCTCGTCCCGGCCGCCCCGTCCCTGCCTTGGCGCCGCCGAGCGCGCAGGCCGTCGGCCTCCCGCCGCGGGCGCGCCGGCCGCGGGGGCGGCCGCGTGCTGCCCGGGGCCGAGCGCCGAGGGCGCCGGGGAGTCGCTGAGGGAGCTCGTGCGCGAGGCGCTGGCGGTGGAGGCGACCCGCAGAGGACGTCCCCTGAGATTCTGGACGCCCTGAGGACTCCTCCCCCTCCTCCTCTCCCCATTCTCCCCCCCCTCCTCCTCCTCCTCCTCCTTTTCCTCTTCCTCCTCCTCCTCCTCCTCCTCCTCCTCCTCCTCGTCCTCCTCCTCCTCCTCCTCCTCCTCCTCCTCCTCCTCCTCCTCCTCCTCCTCTTCTTCTTTGCACGAACGAAATGGGTACGGGAAGAATGGGTACAATGCCCAACAGCAGTTCCTGTTCATTTTGAGCAGGACGCGCTGTCCGCGCCGCCGCGGCATCCGTCCACTTGAGACAGATGAAGGCCGCCTGCCCAACAGCGGCCGCTGTTGGTTCGGGGCAACATGTGCTGTTGGGCATTGTACCCACTCTTTCGGTACCCACTTCGGGTGTCCAAAGAGATCCTGGCGGCTCCATGTTTTCGAGCCGGGCGGTTTCGCCTTCCTGCGGGCCTTGTGGGCGCCCACGGATCGATCCGGGAAGTACGCAGAAAAAAGGGCTCTCATCAGGGCTCCGGGCGGGATGTTTCAAGATGTTGTATTCTTCTTCGCTACGTCGGATCTCAGGGACTGGCCAGCTGAAGTAGCTGCCCTGGTACGCCCGTTTTGACGCGCAACGCGTGCCTGGTTCAGTCACCAAGCGCGTTCCACTACTCGCAAAGCGCCTCCTCGCGAACGTCTGGAAAAAAACATATTCTTCTACGTCATGGATCGTAAATCCCTCGCGGCGGATCCAGGCCATTGGCGAGGAGCCACTGTGCGAGATGTGGAACACGCTTATCCAAATCAGCTGCCACGACACGCCCGCTTTGAAGCGCAGCGCGTGCCGTGTGGAAGACGTCCACGCGAACACGCTGCGGCTGGGCTCGGCACGTGTTGGCCCGCGCGGTCGGCGAACGCATCGCCCCAGACCTGCGTGTTCATCCTGCGTGTTGAGCTCCGTGTCGGCACGCTACGTGTTGCGTGTTGCGTCGATTGTTAGTCTATCGAATGTCCATGTTATCAATTGATAGCATGATTCTAACTAAATGTTATTATCATGTTCATTTTCATATCGGGGCAGCCAAGCTTGCCAGATCTCCGACCGTGCGGTATCTTCAATCCCCCCCCCCCCGGTGGTCGCCGAGGTCCTGACGTCTCGGCTCTTGCCGGCCATGGGCGCGTCCGCCCGCTCTCGGGCCCCGGAAGCCTCTTCACAGATGGGCCTTGCTCGACAAAGGGCGCAGAAAGATGGGGGGTTGGGGGCCTTGGTCGCGATTTTTAACTATGTTGTTCTAGGCCTCCTGGATGGGGTCGGAGTAGATGGGGTCGGAGGATCGCGCCGCATCGCCGATGCATCGGCGGTGCGGCTCGATGTGGAGCCCGATTTGCCTCACGTCGACGTCGCCGATGCATCGCCGACATCGACGATGCGTCACCGGTGCATCGCCGATGCATCACCGATGCATCGCGGATGTATTGCCGATGCGGCGCGATCCTCCGACCCCATCTAATCCGAACCCATCTGGGAGGCCTCTCGTTGGGGGGGGGGGCTCCGTGTTCCTCAGTTGTTCTGCAGTGCTCCTTGGGTTTCCCTTGGGTTTTCCATGGAAAATCGGAGTTGAGCTTGTGGGAAAAAAGGGGCCTCGTTCCTTCTTTAGGTTCCTTAGGTCAACGCCCCAACTGTATGTTTGTTTTCGCTGCGTCGAGTTCTCAGGGTTTGCCTAGCTTACGGCCTCTCTGGGCACGTGGCGGGACCCAGGGCTCTCAAGAGTGGATCGGGGGGCCAACAACTGCAGTCGGGGCGCTGAAGAAGGAACCCTTTTCGTTTGGGAGGGACTCAGTGTTCCCTAGTGGTTTCACAGTTTGCCTGCTTTCGATGGGAAATCGAGGTTTGACTTGTAGAAGAAACAGGTCTCGTTCCTTATTCGAGGGCTGGGGATTCTGGTGTGGCGGTCTGGGGCCCGTACCGCGGCATCATTTTGCATTGTCGCCTCGGCGCCTTGGGTCAACGCCCCGACTGCACTGGTCGGGCCCTCTGGGGCCGCGCATCGAACAAGCCAGATCGACCACGCTGGGCCAGGGTCATCCCGGGTCCCAGGATGGTGTAACAAGACCCGCACTAGCCTCGGCCAGGAGGGCGCGTGCACCCCACGCTGGGATTCAGGATGGCCCTAGTCCGGCGGTGGGTGGCGTGCAGATGAGGCCTTCCGCACAGGTGAGGGCCATCCAGGAGAGCGTCGTCCAGCAGCTGAGGATCAGAGGAGGCAAAGGTACCCATACCGCTACCCTTCGCCCGTGTTCCCCCTTTTGGGGCCTCCTGGGCGGCCCTCGTCGCCACCGCTGGCGTCCCTTCGAAATCCTGGCCAGAACACGCCCCGGGAGAGGCCCGGGGAGCAGCGGTATCGGTACTTTTGGGCTTCCCCCGAGGAGCTTGGAGGTCCGTGCCGCGGGGAGCCTCCTGGAGCACGAGGCCCACGCCTCCGAGAAGGACCTGGAGCGGCTCCAGCGGCGGCTGCTCCAGACCGAGCGCCGCCGCCGCCGTCGGAACCTCGAGGTGGGCTCCCTGCGCAAGGCGCTGAGGGAGGTGCGCAGCGACGTCATCGACGAGAGCACGCCGCCCAGCGCGAAGCACGACATAGAGGCAGAGCAGCTGCTGTCCGAGGTGCGCGCGGAGCGCGAGGAGTGGTACTCCGACAAGAGGCGGCTCGAGGAGCAGATACACCAGCTCGAGGAGGAGAACCAGGCCCAGAGGGCCGCTCCCGCCAGTGACCCGGAGAAGGAGAAGCTGAAGCGGCAGATCAAGCAGCTCCAGATGTCCATCGACTCTCGGGACAGGTACGCCTGCTGGGTGTGCAACCAGCAGGCCACAGCGCGCGAGGCCAGCGACACCGACGGCGACGCGTCCGAGCGAGACGTGGAGGAGGACGACGAGGTCGAGGCCATGCGCAAGCAGCTGTCGTGCATGAAGTCGGAGCTGAAGAAGCTGAAGGGCCTCCCGAGCTGCGCGAGCACCCCGAGGGGCTCGGTCGCGAGCACCCCGAGGGGCTCGGTCGCGGGCAGCGAGGGCGAGATCCCCGCCGTGGCCCTTCCTTGGGGAAACAGCTGCCGGAGCACAACCTTTCGGAGGTCCGCGCGGATTTCTCGGATCGGCGCGCCGTGGACTCCCCTCGACTGGCGCGCGGAGCGCGCCAGGGGCGGCGCCGCAGGCGCCGCTGGGGTCCAGCGCCGATCTCCAAGAAGCCCGCGCGGAGCTCCGAGAGTTCCCAGAGATCCGAGGCAGTGATTTTTGCGATACGGGATCCCTGGAAGTCTCGACCGATTCCCCGGGACCCGCTCTCCCATCCTGCATCGTGGTTTGACAGTCCCAGGGGCCCCTGCGAGGGCCCCTATATAGAGGCCGAGAACTGCGGCAAGCCTCCGCCTCGATTCTGCCACTGCGCTATATAGATCTCTGGGTGGATCTGCCCGTGCAGCTGCTTCCTCGTCGACGCGAGGCCCCGCCGGCCAGCGCGCCCGCGCCCGCGGGGCCCGGGGGCCTCAAGCAGCCCGGCAGCGCCCCCCGGAGCGACCGGCCGAGACGCCAGGGCGTGCAGTTCGCGGACGCCGTCGACGACCGCCCCGGCACGCCGCCGGCTGTGCCGGACGCCGGCGGCGCCCCGCAGGTCGGGGGGGGCCAAGGGCGCCCCTATATAGGGCCCATGAGAGGCCCCCGGCTTGTCGCTCAGTCTTGGAGCCCCTGGGGCCCCCTGGGCCTCGTGAGGGGTTCTCTTCAGGGAGGAAAAAAACCACCCGGGCCGGACAAGTGGCGTTTGCGAAGCGGCCCCGGGCGTTGACGAAACAGCCTTGCCCTGAGATAGCACCCGACTAAAAAACCTGTCCCAAAGCTATTCTACGTCTTGGTGTTAGGCTGGTTCGCCCAGCTTTTTTTAAAAGTGTTTTAGGTCTCCCGTGCTAAAAAGAATAGCTCTCTGGAAGGTGAGGGTATTATGCCGAGCATGTTCTTTGGGTGGAGGGCAAAGGGTGAAATCTGAAATGCCGTTTCGATTGATTTTCAAGGCTTGAATATGCAAAAGGTTGATCACAAGACGGATCTTTTCGAGGTGCAAAAGCCCGTATGGATTTCACCCTGAGCCCTCCACCCTAAGAAAATGCTCAGTTATGGGTCAGGGACACTTCTGGCACAAACCCCCGAGCAGGAGGGGCCGGCGCCGCCCGCGGGGGGCGGCGGGCCCGCCGAGGCGCCCGCTGCTCGGAGAGGAAGCGCCGGCGCTGCACGGGACCAGGAGCGGTCGGAGCTCCCCGCGCGGAGTGCTCGGATCGGCGCTGGGCCCCCACCAGCCATCGATCCTCCTCCTCCTCCTCCTCCTCCTCCTCCTCCCTCCTCCTCCTCCTCCTCCTCCTCCTCCTCCTCCTCCTCCTCCTCCTCCTCCTCCTCCTCCTCCTCCTCCTCCTCCTCCTCCTCCTCCTCCTCCTCCTCCTCCTCCCTCTTCCCTGCCCCTCCTCCTTTCTCCGATGCTCCCAAGAGAAATTGGAGCCCTCAGGAGGCTCTTGGGCCGTCCTCGGCCTCTGGGGGCCCTCGCCGGGCTCCGGGAGCGTCAGAAAAACCGATTCGGGACGACAAGCTGGCCCCAGAGAAGTGGTCCAGACCTCTGGGGCCCACGCCTCGAAAACATTGGAGCTGCCGGATGTCTGGGCCGGGGACGGCGCCTCTGGCGCCGCCCCTGGCCTTAGGTCGGGCCTGTCCCCCTACAGGGGGATGTTGGACAAAACAATTGAGACTTGTAGGAAATATACAAAGACATGCCCAAGAATAGTCAAGAAAATCGTCCCCTGACTATTTTAAAGCCTATTTCTGAATATTCCTCCTGTAGAGGAACAGGCCCGACTTACCCCTGGCGCGCTCCGCGCGCCAGGAAGGAGGGAGGGGGGTCCAGCGCCGATGCAAGAGATCCGCGCGGACCTCCGAAAGTTCATGCTCGTGCAGCTGCTTGTGCCTCGACCTCCCCTGAGAGCCTGGCGTCCGAGTTTTGGCGAGCCAGGCGTCTGCGCCCGACCTCGGGCCAAGGGACCCTCGCGAATCGATCGGGCCCGAAGGGGTGCAGAAAGATGGGGTCCGTTGCGTCGCATCTTCGGGGCACCTCGGCCGGAGCCTTTCATCTCGTGCCCGACTCGATGCGGACTCGACGCGGATCTGGCGCGGCTTCGGCGCGGACTCGGCGAGCCCGACCTGGATCCTGCGCGGGCTCGGCGCGGACCGGGCCGCGGCGGGACACCCAAGAGGCCCCCCGAAGGCGCAAAGCTGCAGGGTCGTGACCCCCCACGGTGCCGCCCCGTTTTCCGCTCGCTGCACGCCGGGCCTCGGGGGCGGGCGCGGAGGCCCCGCCGCTGCGCCCCTCGCGCGGCAGGCTCGCCACCCCCTTCGTGGCCGCGGGCGCGGAGGCCGCCCCGCGGGGGCGCCAGGGGCGGGTGACGTGGCTCGAGGCGCCCGCCGTCGTGGAGGTGCCCGCCGCCTCCGACGGCCCGCTGCGCGCCAGCCGGGCCCGGGTGGCCACGCCGCACGTGGCGCCGGACGGGGCGGAGGCCGCGGGCCCCGGCGGCGCCGCCGGCGCGGGGCCGCGCCCGCACTTCGCGGCCCTGCCGGCGTCCACCGAGGAGATGGCCGTGGAGGGCCCCCTGCGCTCCAGCAGGTCGCGCACGGCCACCCCCTTCGCGCCGCCCGGCGAGGCGGAGGACGCGGCGGCCAGGTCCGCCGTGCGCTTCGCGGAGGACGTGGACGCCGCGGCCGTGCCGCTGGCCGGCGGCGGCGGGCGCTCCGTGGCCACCCCGGGAGTCCCGGGGGGAGGCGCCCACCCCGCGGCTCCCTCCGTGCAGTTCTCCGACGAGGTCAGCACTTCCCCGGTGCTGGTCGGCGGCGGCGCCGAGCTGCGGCGCTCGTCGCGCAGCCGCGTGAACACTCCGTTCGCCGCGCCGCCAGAGCTGGCCGGCCTGGAGGAGGAGTCGCCCAGCAGAGCCGCGGGCCAGGCGGGGTCCGTCCGAGACGGGGCCCCCGCGCCCTCGGTGCAGCCAGAGCAGGTGGGCCCGGCCGCGCCCGCCGTGTCCTTCCAGACCCGGGACGAGGCGACCGACATTTTGGTGGCCGTCGCCGGCGAGATGCGCGACGCGCGGCGCCGCACGCAGACGCCCGCCGTCGCGGGCGGCCTCGCGACGAGCACAGTGCGCTTCTCGCCAGCGGAGTCCGTGGCCGAGGCGGCCAGCCCGGCGCCCGCGCACGCGCGCGCGTTGAGGACGCGCACGCCGACGGGCTTCGTCCGCGGCGACGCTTCGGCGGGCTCCGCGGACGCCGGCGGCGGCGTGCGCTTCGCGGCGGAGGACAGCGTCGTGGAGGCTGCCAGCGCGGCGCCCGCGCAGGCGAGGTCCCTGCGGACACGCACGCCCACGGGCTTCGTGCACTGCGAAGAGGGCGGCGTTGCAGGCGGTGCTGGGGAGGGGAGAGGGCGCACGAGGGCGCGGGACGAGGGGGGCAGCAGGGCAGCTTGGGGGGGAGAGAAGAGAGGGAGGGGGGGCGGGAAGGCGGTGGGGGAGCATGAGCAGCATCAGGGCATGAGGGGAAGCAGTTGGAAGAGCGGCGGAGGGAGATTGAGACGGGGAGAAGAGGGAAGAGCGCGAGATAAAAGGGGAAGGGAAGGGATGCGCGCCATCCAGGTGGCCGCGGCCCCTCCGCCGGCTCCTCCGAGGGCGCCCCTGAGGACAGGGCGGTGAGGTTTGCGGCCGCGGTCAGCGTCGAGGAAGCCGCCAGCTCTGCACCGGCATCGGCCAGGTCAGTGCGGGACCGCGTCTCGACTGGGTTCGCTTTTGCGGAGGAGACTGGCGAGCACGGTTCGTCTGTCAGCTTCGCGGAGGAGGGCGCGGATGCCAAGGGCGTGCATTTCGCGGGCGAGACGTCCGTGGGCGAGGCAGCCAGTTCGCCGCCGTCGCGGCCCAGATCGGTGAGGGACCGTATCTCAACTGGGTTCGCTTTCGCGGAGGAATTTGGCGAGCACGGTTCGTCTGTCAGCTTCGCGGAGGAGGGCGTTGATGCTAGGGGCGTGCGATTCGCGGGCGAGACGTCCGTGGGTGAGGCAGCCAGTTCGGCGCCGTCGCGTCCCAGATCGGTGAGGGACCGGGTCTCAACTGGGTTCGCTTTCGCGGAGGAGCCAGGCGTGCACTTCGCGAACGAGACGTCCGTGGGCGAGGCAGCCAGTTTGGCGCCGTCGCGGCCCAGACCGGTGAGGGACCGCGTCTCGACTGGCTTTGCTTTTGCGGAGGAGACTGGCGAGCACGGTTCGTCTGTCAGCTTTGCGGAGGAGGGCGCGGATGCCAGGGGCGTGCGATTCGCGGGCGAGACGTCCGTGGGCGAGGCAGCCAGCTCGGCACCGTCGCGGCCCAGATCGGTGAGGGACCGCGCCTCGACCGGGTTCGCCTTCTCGGAGGAGCCGGAGGAGGGCGTTGACGCCAGGGGCGTGCGATTCGCAGGCGAGACGTACGTGGGCGAGGCCGCCAGCTCAGCGCCGCTGGGGGCCAAGCCGGTGAGAGACCGCGTCTCTACTGGATTCGCCTTCGCGGAGGAGCCAGAGGAGGGCGTGGGCGTGCGGTTCGCGGGCGTGACGTCCGTGGGCGAGGCAGCCAGCTCAGCGCCGTCGCGGCCCAGATCAGTGAGAGACCGCGTCTCCACTGGATTCGCCTTCGCGGAAGAGCCGGAAGAGGGCACTGATGCCAGGGGCGTGCGGTTCGCGGGCGAGACGTCCGTGGGCGAAGCAGCCAGCTCAGCGCCGTCGCGGCCCAGATCGGTGAGAGACCGCGCCTCGACTGGGTTCGCCTTCGCGGAGGAGCCGGAGGAGGGCACTGGTGCCAGTGGCGTGCGATTCGCGGACGAAACGTCTGTGAGCGAGGCAGCCAGCTTAGCGCCGCTGGGGGCCAAGCCTGTGAGAGACCGCGTCTCCACTGGATTCGCCTTCGCGGAGGAGCCGGAGGAGGGCGTGGGCGTGCGATTCGCGGGCGAGACGTCCGTGGGCGTGGCAGCCAGCTCAGCGCCGTCGCGGCCCAGATCGGTGAGAGACCGCGCCTCGACCGGGTTCGCCTTCGCGGAGGAGCCAGAGGAGGGATTTGGTGCCAGCGACGTGCGATTCGCGGACGAAACGTCTGTGGGCGAGGCAGCCAGCTCAGCGCCGCTGGGGGCCAAGCCTGTGAGAGACCGCGTCTCCACTGGGTTTGCCTTCGCGGAGGAGCCAGAGGAGGGCGTGGGCGTGCGGTTCGCGGGCGTGACGTCCGTGGGCGAGGCAGCCAGCTCAGCGCCGTCGCGGCCCAGATCGGTGAGAGACCGCGCCTCGACCGGGTTCGCCTTCGCGGAAGAGCCGGAGGAGGGCACTGACGCCAGGGGCGTGCGGTTCGCGGGCGAGACGTCCGTGGGCGAGGCAGCCAGCTCAGCGCCATCGCGGCCCAGATCGGTGAGAGACCGCGCCTCGACTGAGTTCGCCTTCGCAGAGGAGCCAGAGGAGGGCACTGACGCCAGGGGCGTGCGGTTCGCGGGCGAGACGTCCGTGGGCGAGGCAGCTAGCTCAGCGCCGCTGGGGGCCAAGCCAGTGAGAGACCGCGCCTCCACTGGATTTGCCTTCGCGGAGGAGCCAGAGGAGGGCGTGGGCGTGCGGTTCGCGGGCGTGACGTCCGTGGGCGAGGCAGCCAGCTCAGCGCCGTCACAGCCCAGATCGTTGAGAGACCGCGCCTCGACTGGGTTCGCCTTCGCGGAGGAGCCGGAAGAGGGCACTGACGCCAGGGGCGTGCGGTTCGCGGGCGAGACGTCCGTGGGCGAGGCAGCTAGCTCAGCGCCGCTGGGGGCCAAGCCAGTGAGAGACCGCGCCTCCACTGGATTCGCCTTCGCGGAGGAGCCAGAGGAGGGCGTGGGCGTGCGGTTCGCGGGCGAGACGTACGTGGGCGAGGCAGCCAGCTCAGCGCCGTCGCGGCCCAGATCGGTGAGAGACCGCGCCTCGACCGGGTTCGCCTTCGCGGAAGAGCCGGAGGAGGGCACTGGTGCCAGTGGCGTGCGGTTCGCGGGCGAGACGTCCGTGGGCGAGGCAGCCAGCTCAGCGCCATCGCGGCCCAGATCGGTGAGAGACCGCGCCTCGACTGGGTTCGCCTTCGCAGAGGAGCCAGAGGAGGGCACTGACGCCAGGGGCGTGCGGTTCGCGGGCGAGACGTCCGTGGGCGAGGCAGCTAGCTCAGCGCCGCTGGGGGCCAAGCCAGTGAGAGACCGCGCCTCAACTGGATTCGCCTTCGCGGAGGAGCCAGAGGAGGGCGTGGGCGTGCGGTTCACGGGCGAGACGTCCGTGGGCGAGGCAGCCAGCTCAGCGCCGTCACGGCCCAGATCGGTAAGAGACCGCGCCTCGACTGGGTTCGCCTTCGCGGAAGAGCCGGAAGAGGGCACTGACGCCAGGGGCGTGCGGTTCGCGGGCGAGACGTCCGTGGGCGAGGCAGCCAGCTCAGCGCCGTCGCAGCCCAGATCGGTGAGAGATCGCGCCTCAACCGGGTTCGCCTTCGCGGAGGAGCCAGAGGAGGGCGCTGACGCCAGGGGCGTGCGGTTCGCGGGCGAGACGTCCGTGGGCGAGGCAGCCAGCTCAGCGCCGTCGCGGCCCAGATCGGTGAGAGACCGCGCCTCGACTGGGTTCGCCTTCGCGGAGGAGCCAGAGGAGGAAGCTGACGCCAGGGGCGTGCGGTTCGCGGGCGAGACGTCCGTGGGCGAGGCAGCCAGCCCAGCGCCGCGGGGGGCCAAGTCGGTGAGAGACCGCGCCTCCACTGGATTCGCCTTCGCGGAGGAGCCGGAGGAGGGCGTTGGCGTGCGGTTCACGGGCGAGACGTCCGTGGGCGAGGCAGCCAGCTCAGCGCCGTCACGGCCCAGATCGGTAAGAGACCGCGCCTCGACTGGGTTCGCCTTCGCGGAAGAGCCGGAAGAGGGCACTGATGCCAGGGGCGTGCGGTTCGCGGGCGAGACGTCCGTGGGCGAGGCAGCCAGCTCAGCGCCTTCGCGGCCCAGATCGGTGAGAGACCGCGCCTCAACTGGGTTCGCCTTCGCGGAAGAGCTGGAGGAGGACGCTGACGCCAGGGGCGTGCGGTTCGCGGGCGAGACGTCCGTGGGCGAGGCAGCCAGCTCAGCGCCGCTGGGGGCCAAGCCAGTGAGAGACCGCGCCTCCACTGGATTCGCCTTCGCGGAAGAGCCAGAGGAGGGCGTGGGCGTTCGGTTCGCGGGCGAGACGTCCATGGGCGAGGCAGCCAGCTCAGCGCCGTCACGGCCCAGATCGGTAAGAGACCGCGCCTCGACTGGGTTCGCCTTCGCGGAGGAGCCGGAGGAGGGCACTGACGCCAGGGGCGTGCGATTCGCGGGCGAGACGTCCATGGGCGAGGCAGCCAGCTCAGCGCCGTCGCGGCCAAGATCGGTGAGAGACCGCGTCTCCACTGGATTCGCCTTTGCGGAGGAGCCAGAGGAGGGCGTGGGCGTGCGGTTCGCGGGCGAGACGTCCGTGGGCGAGGCAGCCAGCTCAGCGCCGTCACGGCCCAGATCGGTGAGAGACCGCGCCTCAACCGGGTTCGCTTTCGCGGAGGAGCCAGAGGAGGGCGCTGACGCCAGGGGCGTGCGATTCGCGGGCGAGACGTCCGTGGGCGAGGCAGCCAGCCCAGCGCCGTTGGGGGCCAAGCCGGTGAGAGACCGCGCCTCCACTGGATTCGCCTTCGCGGAGGAGCCAGAGGAGGGCGTGGGCGTGCGGTTCGCGGGCGAGACGTCCGTGGGCGAGGCAGCCAGCTCAGCGCCGTCACGGCCCAGATCGGTGAGAGACCGCGCCTCAACCGGGTTCGCTTTCGCGGAGGAGCCAGAGGAGGGCGCTGACGCCAGGGGCGTGCGATTCGAGGCTTTCGCAGAGGGCACTTGCACACCTCTTCCCATGCCTGGCCAGGCTGCCCTGGGCTCCAGGGTGGTGATGTATAGGAGGTTGGGGGGAGATCGACATGAAACAGCGACTCCTCAGTAGGACATCGGTCTCTGTGTTCATGTCGTGCGGGCGAGGCGAAGCTGCGTACGTGGGCGAGAGGAGTGATCCCACCGTCGCTAGAGCGAAGTCAAGCAAAAGTCCCTCCCCCGTCTGGTTAGTGGTTTGGGGAGCGGGGTTGTCCTGCGGTTGTCCCGTGGTTGTCCCGCGTTTGCCCCGATGGTTGATTGATTGATTGATTGATAGTGAGGTCGGTAAATGACACTGAGACCGATAGACAACAATTAGTACGGTAGTGCTGTCGATATATGGTGAATGAGATCGCTCGATATATGATGGCATCGATGAACAGATAGTGAACGATAGATTGATGGAAAGCGATTTCGGTATACAGATGTGTATATACAATACGTGAAAACATGTGAATGTGTACATATATACACCTAAATGTATGTCTATATCTATATATGTCAAGACGATACAAGACTGACTGCATTGGCGCTTCGCGCCATGCACCCTGCTCAGCGCTCTTCACACCCAAACAAAGTCGTACAGTAGCCACGAACAGACTCAATTGGTGGGATTTCTGATTTTGAGGGCTTCCGCGGTCTTATGGAAAGTCCCAAGGAGCCCGATGAGGGCCGCTTGGGCCGTTTGGGGCCACAGCGTTGCGAGTCAGGATTTGGAGTACTTCAGGTGGGCATCTTGGGACTTGTCTAGTCCGTTCAGGGGCTGTCGTGAAGCCGTGTTCGAGCGTTGTTGGCTCGTTTCGGGGCTTCTTTGGACTCTCTGGGAGCCCGTGAGTCATTTTGGGCAATCGGAACTTCTTGGCTTCTTCGTGCGGCGATGCGGTGCGCTTTGGGAACGTATTGGTGGCGGTGCACGCGCTGCCGCGGCCGTCCAGGGGCCTTCGCGTAATTGGCCGAGGCGGCGGGCCAGAGGCCTTCTGAATGTGTCTGGACATTTCTGGGGAAGTCCTCGGAGGCCGGTTTGAGGCCTTCGTGGACTGGCCTGGGGCCCTCTTGGGCCGTCCTGGGACCCTCTTGGGCCTTCTTGGACGGCCTCAGCCGTCTTGGGGCCATCTTGGAGGGTCACGTTGGGAGTCCTCCTATGGACTTCTTGGGGCTCTCCGGGGGGCCTCGGGGCCCTCTTGGTCCCTTCTTGGAGCTCTCTGGGGCCATCTTGGGCCGTTTTGCGGCGATCTGGTTGGGCCGTCCTGGGGCGATCCCAGAGGCCCCTGGAGCCGTCCTGGGCCGTTCTTGGATGGAGATGGCGAGAAGTTCAAAATCTCTCAACAACGCAAGGGTGAAGTTTGGGCCTCCGCGGGCCGTCCTCGGGGTCCTCTTGGGCCGTCCCGAGAGCCTCCTGGCCTGTTACAGTGAGCGGTTCGAACGAGGAACGCCTACTTTTCAAGAGGGGCTCGGTCGTTCCTGAGGCTTGCATGCGTTACTTACAGTTCCTTATGCGTCATTTGTTATGTATCGTTCCTTCTGCGTTATTCCTTGGGATAGAAAAGGGGCTTCGTTCCTTATTTATCGTTCCTTGGGTCAGGCCGATGACTGTATCGTGCCCGCCTGGGCTGCCTTGGGGCTCGCTCGGGGTCCTCTTCGGTTTTCGTTGGGGGGGCCCTCCGGGGCGTCCTTGGGCCCGCGGGCGAGGCCCCAGCAGGGCCGCCGAGGAGGCCCAGACATTCCAGGGGGGCCTTCTGCACGAGTGCCCTGGAGCTTTGTGGGCCCCGGAAACGGCAGGGCCGTTGTTTCACCGTTTCCGAAAAAAAATGCCCCTTGTAAGTGGAAACGGCAAAAAAACGGCGACCGGAAACGGCAAAAAAACGGCTCCGGGATTGGAACCGGAGCCGGAACGGGTCAAAAAACGGCGACGGAACGGCGTCGGAACCGGTAAAAAACGGCAAAACGGGACCGGTAAAAAAACGGCCCTGTCGTTTCCAGGGCCTGGAGGTGCCAGGGGCCAGGTCGAAGGGGTCCGTGGGGCCAAGGATTCGGGGGCGGCAAAGAGGGGGGGGATGACTAGGGGGGGTGGGGGATAATCATGGCGGGGACCATGATATTTCCCCAGATGTCGTGGCGCCTCTTCTTACTTCATTACGTCCCTAGCCAACCCGCTGGGCCGCGCACATGCCGCCGGTCATGATTTGCACCCCCCCCTCTTGGACACCCCCCTCGTGGCCGCTCCCGAAGGATGTAGGGGATCTGGCTTAAAGTGGGGAAGGGGGTGTCCGGGTAATAAAACTATAAGGATAGGAATAAAGATGTATGCGTGTATCTATACATCTATATACACACATATAGACGCCGTAGAATCGAAGTATAGATATTGCCCCAAATAGTGCGTGCTTTTACGGATTCTGAATTATGTTATATGGAATTGGGCCGTGTCTTCGGTCTGGCGGCTATGTGGCCGCCGTCGCCGCCTCGTCGCAACCCGTCGTCTGGGCCTTGTTTTCGGTCTGTCGGCTACGTAGCTGCCGTCGCCGCCCCGTCGCCGCATAGATTGCGCACCACATAGATTCTCCTTTCTTATAAGAGAAGATTATACCCCCCGGGGTTCTCAATATGAACGTATACCATCCCAGGCGGGACGGTATCGACACCCCCCGTCATCCTTTGCAAAAGATACTATGCGCACACACTCGTTTATCAATAATCATGGGTTGTCAAGACTCCCTTTCGAAAAATGAGACGAAGTGCGCACGCGCGCGTCGTCGCGCGCGCATGCCGGAATCCTTCAAAACTTTCGCTTTCGTCAGGATTTCAAAATCGAGTGTCCAAGAAACATGTTCAAAAATACATGGCAACACGGAGTTTCACGAAAAGCTTGCGCGCGCGCTCTTGCGAATTCTTCAGAAAGTCGTAGGTTTTGCAACCTGATCATAAAGTGCTACCACGCGGGTTTCGCGCGCGCATGCCGGAAGCGTTCGAGCGCCATTGCGCGCGCGTGCTGTCGCGAGACTCCTTTTTTCCAAAAACCGGGACGAAGTGCACGCGCGCGCGTCGTCGCGCGCGCATGCCGAAATTATTCGAAAACCCTTGGTGTCGTAAGGATTGCAAGAACGAGTGTCGCGAAACCATGTAAGGAATGCGGTTTCGCAACACTGATGCTCAATATTAGAAAAATTGCGCGCGCGCTCTCGCGAATTCTCAACAAAACCTTGGGTCTTCAACATGCGCATTGAATTCTGCCAAACGGGCCTCTCGCGCCGCATGCCGAAAACATTCGAACGCCCTTGCGCTCGTGCTTGGAGGGGCGCGATCCGTGTCAAATAACACCATGCGGGCCACTCTCGCGCGTCGGCCGCGCGCGCATGTCAAACTCCATCCAAAACCTTCATCACCGACGCGAAGATGCCGTCATCATCGGCGGCGTGATCAGCATCGGCGTCATCACTTGCCGTGCCGCCGTCGCTTTCGACGTCGTCACCAGCATCGCTACTATCATCATCGTGTCTACCGCACGCAAGTGCATGCGCGGGCTGGCGCGGCCGCAGAGATGCACCAGCCAACAACAAGCATTCATAGCAATCGCCGCCGCTTCCGTTTTACAAGACAATTTGGGGTGGGTGGATGGGATGCTCGCGCGAGCAGTGGAATTGACAATTGCGAGTCCCACCGAGGAATTGCACCACATAGATTGCACAACTGAAATTCCACTACAGAACTTGCGCAACCGATGTTACACCACATAGATTGCACATCCTAAATTGCACAGTACAGATTTGCCTTTCTAAAAGACTAATAGATTCTACCCCCCTCCCCCCCCCGGACTTATCGCCTCCCCCTGGGATAGTACGATTTCATATATATATATATATATATATATATATATGTATATATATATATATATATATATATATTCTGCACACTCGTCCATCCTAAATATGAAATCACATCATCCCAGCCAAACCGGGTTCCCCCCCCTGAGGTTCCCTTGCTAAAAAAACATTATGCGGTGACATGTTTTGTTCTAACACAACACTTTTTCACGAATCCCTTGCAAAAAACAGGACGAAGTGCACACGCGCGCGTCGTCGCGCGCGCATGCCGAAATCCTTCAAAACCCTTCGGTGCCGGAAGGATTTCGCAATCGAGTTTCCAAAAAAAACATTCAAAAACACACGGTTTCGCAACATTGACTTGCTAAAAAAACTTCCGCGCGAGCTCTTGCGAAATCTTAAGAAAACCACGGATTTTTCAAGATTTTCACAAAATCCTATTAAACGGGCTTCGCGCGCGCGCATGTCGAAATCTGTCGAACGCCCTTGCGCGTGTGCCGTCGCGGGAATCTTTTGCAAAAATAAGACGAAGTGCAGACGCGCGCGTCGTCGCGCGAGTATGCCGAAAACCTTCAAACATCGGTTTCGGAAGGATTTCAAAATCGTGTGTCCAAAAAACCTACAGAAACCCAAGGTTTCGCAACACGCATTTTCAACAAAAGCGTGCGCGCGCGCTCTTGCGTCGTCGTCGTCGCCGCCGTCCTCCCTCCTCCCGCGTCGTCGTCGTCGTCGCCTACGTCGTCCTCTGTCTTTCCTCGTGTTCGTCGTCGTCGTCCTCTTTGGCGTCGTGGTCGTTTCCGTCGTCGCTGTCGCCGTGGTCGTCCTTCCTCCTCCTCCCTCGTCGTCGTCGTCGTCCGTCGTCGGCGTCTCGTCGTCGTCCCTCCTATTTCGTCGCCGTCGTCGTCGTCGTCGTTGTCGTCGTCGTCTTCCCTCCTCCCTCGTCGTTGTCGTCGTCGGCGTCGCCGTCCTTCCTCCTTCTTCGTCGTTCGCGTCGTCGCCGTCCTCCTCCTCCCTCGTCGTTGTCGTCGTTGTCGTCGTTGTCGTCGTTGTCGCCGTCGTCGTCCTTCCTCCTCCCTCGTCGTCGTCTTCGTTGGCGTCGTCGTCGTCGTCTTCGTCGTCGTCGGCGTCGGCGACGGTGCCGGCTTCGAAGTCGGCGGAGACGTCGGTGTCGTCGTCGTCGTTGTCGTCGGTGTCGTCGTAGTCGGTCTG